AGCTTTCATTTCTCTCCCCACCCACGAAATTGTAGAAATTTCACCTTGAACGGAGTCCCCCACCACCACCACCACCTCTGTGTAGCTTCTCTGGCCCTTTACCAGCCTAGCTGGCCTCTCAATTCTTTCAGTCTGAGAAGGAACAGGACTACATCTCCCATCATCCTTAACCACAGGCTATGCTGGGAAGAACGAGGGCCACAGACATCCATAGGGATCTGGAAGGCCACCCCTTCCCTATCCCAATTTTAGGGAAAGACACGATTGTTGAACTAGCAGCAAACCTATCAAGGTGAACAGTCAATAATCTACGGATCCCTGGGACTGTGCAGCTGGCCCAAGGCCACCTAGGCTGGCTCTACTCATAGGCGGCACAGTGAGGAATCGAACTCCTAACCTCTGGCTCTGCATCCAGAGACCTAAACCACTTACACCAGTCTTCATATATCTTTCTTCTTTTATACCACTTCTGCTTCCACTGCTGCTATAACTGGACCTGGCCTATTGTCACTTGATGAGCTGACAATGACTCTTGGCCATTATTATAACAATAATCTTAGAATGGCAGAAGGGGATCCTATAGATCATCTAGTCCAGCCTCTCTCAAGGAGGCCCGGGGGGGAGGAATCAAACTCCCAACCTCTGGCTCTGCAGCCAGATGCCTAAACCACCGAGCTATCCAGCTGTTGCTGACACTGCTATTATTTTAGGGTGACTTCTGGAATATTGTGTGCCTACATTATCACCAGGGTTGTTCTTAATGGCTATTGTGCCTATTATTGCTATCGTTAGCAGCACAAGTGGTATCTATGTCATTTGCCCGCCTTCCCGCCTTCCATGCCTCTCTATAAAAAGGAGTTCCCCAGCAAAGTTTCAAAAACTGGCTCTTTTTTCAAACTTACCTTTTGCACCTTCTTTAGAGTCACCTCTTGAGCGACGATAGTGCAAAGGAGTGGAAGCACAATAAGCAAGATCACCAACAGCTTCATGGTGGGTGGAAAGAACTCCAGCTTTGGATTGAAAGGGAAGGAAGGGTTAGAAAAATACACTTTTTTCCCTTGACACATCATCCTCTGTGGTGGCGCCACCAAGGCAGGAAAGTCCACGGCCCACTCAGCAGAATGAACCCAATCTGAAGCCAACCTGGGAGAGGTTGAACAAAGGACCCTCAAGATGCCAACGAGTGATGCCCAGTGCGATGCAGTGATAGAGTGATGGACTAGGACTCTGGAAGACCCAGGTTCGAATCTCCCCCTCCCCTCAGCCAGGAAAACTTGCAGGGGGAGTGGAACGGGAAAAAACCCTCCTTCAAGATCTCACTTCCGTTGAAAACCCTGTTAGGATAGGTATACAGTAAGTCTGTTCTGACTTCAGGGCACCCACCATGAATAACAACAGATGCAAAGTCAGCCCTTCAGAAATCGGAAAACAGCAGAGGCTCAAAGCATGGCACTGCTAAGGGGGGAGAATTGATGAGCTTTTGTGGCCAGGGGGTGCCTCTGTGTTTAGGAGCGGAGCACCATTCACGGTACAATCATAAATGATGGGATCCCTAAGTCTCTCTTCTCCAGGTGGTTCTTCACTCTATGGCTGCAGAAAGAATCGCAGACCCCCTTCCATCTACCCCTGCCAAGGTGGAAGAGCCAGGATCCTTACCAAGTGCCCCTCTCGGTCTCCTGTCTCAGCCGGTGAGGAGGCAAAGCCAACACGGACTGCCCAACCGCCCCTGGCTTTTTATGGCCTCCTCTATCACTTCAGGAAATCAAACCCACAGTGGCCTTTGGCAGAGATGGCCCAGCGGGGAAGAGGAAAAAGCTGGCGTGTCTCAACCCGCACACGCACACACACATCTATCTGCGCACGCGCGCACACACACACACACACAAAATAACTCATCGCTTCTCTGCCCCGAGGGGCCGCAGGAGTAACAACATGTGCCCATGTATCGGTAGGAAACGGACACACTGTTTTTGGCTTGCACAGATGAAATGGTCTAATTCCCCCCCCCCCCCCGAGAGGCTTTCAAGAAAAACCAAACAGAAAAAAAAAAC